TGTAAACATAAGTTGGTTTACAGTGTTGCAAATTCCCAACGGTATGACAGCCTTTATTTTCTTTTTCTAAAAGGAAATGATCTGTCTAGTATGGCCTTCTATGCATGACAAACATCCTGCTGCTCCCCTAAAGCAAAAAATCTGTTTGCTTTAGGGGAGCAGCAGGATGCTCAAAATAACGGGGTCCCAAAGTGCTTTGGAAGGCCATCTGGGAAAATTGATCTTACAACACCAAAGCTTAAGCTGCAACACATCTTTAAAATGGCAATCAGACTCAAAGTAGCCATCACTGCAGAATGTGAACACTGGAATTAACTTACTCATAGAATTCTAGAATTACATTTTAGGTCCAGATTATCTGAAATACCATATCTCCCCATACAAACATACCAGAGTTCTAAAATCTTCAAGGGAAGGCTTTCTCTCAGTCCCACTACTATCATAGGCTCACTTGGTTAGGACATGAGAGAGAGTCTTCTCAATGGCTGCTCCCACTCTCTGGAATTCCCTTCAATAGAAAGCTAGCCTGGTCCCCTCCCTGCTTACCTTTTGCCCCCAGGCAAAGACAATTTTGTTTAAGCAGACTTTTGATGTATAGTAAGGGAAGCTTTTTAATTGGGATGTTTGATCTTTCTTTTTAAACTATGTATGTCTATCAAATAATTTTATCTTGTTTTATTTGATGATTTTAATTGTTTCTAAAAATGTATTTTTTTTTAGTAACTCTTTCTCAGAGTTACCATGAGTCCCATTTCGAGAGAAAGGCAGCATACAAATGAAATGAAATATTTAATCTTTGCTGTTACTTTGCCTTGGTAGCTTTCTCTGCCCCCTTTTCTTCAGATGTCTAAACTCTATTTCTAAATGTTCAATTGAGGTTTTAATTTTATTGGGGCAATACCTTCATTTTGCCCCTATAGCTACACCCCTGTATTCATTAGCAACGTTAAAACCCACTATTCATATGTAGCTGAATGATATATAACATTGTCAGATAGTCTCGAAACATGTATACATGCATTTTCATGTTTCTTAAGCAGATCTAGAAAGGCTAAATCTCTTCCAAAAAATGTTGGCATTTTTAGAAGAGTAAACAGAAACTATTTGTTTCAAAATATAATATATCTTAGTAGACAGTCCCATAAATGTTCCATCAGCCCCCAATCCTGCCACAGAGGCCTGGAGTTCTGGAGGGCTTTGGTGTCTGGTGGTTTGGACAGTGAAAAAATAAGCAATACATTAGAAAGTAAATGTTGGCATCTCAACAGTCCAGAAAGAGGCTATACAGTCTGTTGTAAATTCAGGGACAGGGCCTGGTAACGCATCTTGGTCTTGTCCCTGGCCCAGCTCTCAGTAGCCCTAACTGTGACATCTTTTTGACATATAATTTCCATTAGCCCTAGCCAAGAAAGCCAGAGAGATTCTTTGAGCTGTAGTCCAAAAACATTTAGAGGGCTGCAATTGTCTGCCTCTACTAGAATACCTTTCAGCAATCAACAAAGATAAAGTTTTATATGGTGTTCCTTTCCATTTTAGTTGAATATTCTAAAGGTCAGTCCAAATGAACAGTTAAAGAGGGAGCAGTATTTCTTATTGCCTAAGGTTACAGAAAGCAATACTCCCTGCTAGTTACTTTATACATTCAACTGACAGCCATAGAGATTTGAGAAAAGAGTTGAAAATGGACACCCTTGTGTTAAACCAGGGGTAGGCAACCTTTCCCCTTTAAGGGCCGAGGGACTTCAGCTCCCAGAAGCCTCAGCCATGTTGGCCAATAGTCCCATGTTGGCCAATAGCTCCTGGGATTCTGGGAGCTGAAGTCCCTCAGCCCTTAAAGGGGAAAGGTTGCCTACCCCGGTGTTAAACTCTTTGACTGAGTTATGGATTTAAGCTGTGATGTGGTGATGAAAGAACATCTCATTCAGCGTGTGTGTTTCCTTCTTTTCCCTGTTGGCTTCCTTTCTGAAAATCTTCTATCACTGAATCTGTTAGCTACGGGGCAGTGATTCCAATGATTTATGGAGAGTCCCTATTATGATGCTTACCTAGAAGAAACTCATTTTCTATATTACTCCTGCTATGTCTGTGTCAACTTGGCCTTAAAAACAAAACCAACCTGACCCGCCATAACACATTACATAAATATTATGGGTAGACTCTCCCTTCCAACCAGTCCCACAGAACATCTCAAGTGTGCTAATACAAAACATGTTTCTGTAAGTGGCCTATTATTTCCTGTAAAGTTTGGGCAAGTATTAAATTAAAGATGTATAGAAAATCAGTTTTAACTTTGGAGGATATCAGAGTTGGGGAAGGGAGAGAAAATGGAAGGAATTGTAGATGGTATTGTGAATTCAATTCAAAGATGCTCTCATATGACAAAGGCATTTATGTGCTACAAGTACTATATGAATGGAAAATTAATAAATGGGCAAGATATTAACATTGGTGCTAAGAAAGGTCAGTGGGAAAACCACCTTCCTGTCTTCTATGCCCACATTCTATGGTGACTTTGCTTGCATGCAGCAATATCCTGCAATGGTAAATAGGCCTCTGAATTTGTTTGCTTTTGCATGTGCTGTGGGATCTCTGATTAGGTTTGCACACAGGGTACAGCGCACAAGCTTAGATTGGACCATATTTGTTTATACAACACTCAAACAAAACGCTGAACTAACTTTAAAGAGAAATTAATCTGAACTCAGATAAAACTTTGTCATTCTTACATGATGTCATGGGATTTGGGAAAGCAGTGGGACACACTGTTACAATTAAATTATTCTCTCTTATGTTCCTAAAATGGCATCACTGAAGTCAATCCCAAAGCTTGCATTGACTTTAGACGTGGCAAAATGACTTTAGCTTTGATTGGTAAGCTCCTTCAGTTTCTGATCATTGGTTTATATAAAAAAATTGCTATTATTTACCCCACAATCCAAAAACACTGCAAGAAAATAAAATCTTCATCAACCCACTAAGCCTTCGTTGCTGTCACCTAACGATAGGCTTGCAAAATAGATTTATACATTTTTTAATATTTCTCCTGCCAGAGACCTCTGAGTGACCCCTCCCCAGGTGGCTGAGCCTTTGCAGCCCCAAGATAGCACATCTTTTTTGACACTGTGTGTTGATCACACAATTCAAAAATGAACATCCATTGCCCAGTCTCATTTGTCAAGCTGTGTTAGTGTGGGGGGCAATGGGGGAGGAAAGGAGGCTCACATAACTAACACCCTGTTTGACAAATAGTATTAAGAAATAGCTACGAACGTAAATTCACTTCTGATGCACAAGTGGCCATGGTGCATTCATATGTGCAGCTCTCAGGCAGTGCTCCCATTAAGGCTCTCTGCATATCAGCTGAGCCTTTGTCAAAGACTCCAAACACTTGAATGGCTTCCTTGGTCATTTTATGATCCTCCTCATTTTGACATTTCAGAATCTCCTTCTCCTCAGTCTCATCTTTCTCCTTTTCCTCTCTTGACCTAAGCCATCAGGAACAATCCATCAATGACAAGGTGAAGTATCCTCCAAGCCTAGCAGCTCCTTTACAAGTCTCTCACCAAACTGCACTCGGCTGTATTTTTTCACATGGTAGGCATCAGACATTTTGTACAAGATGTAGGCATTGTTGATGGCAATGCTGATGGCAAACCAAAATACTTGTTGCCACGTCTTGTTTGGTTTATGTGAAATGAAGTACCTGGAAAAAGGAAAGAGAGAGAAAGGGGAGATGTGGTCCATAAAACATTTCTACAACAAGAAAGAGGCCATGCATCTTAAAAATGACAAATGCAACATGCAATAGATAATGCCACCTTTCTGTGGCACTCAGAATGCACAATTCAAATAGCTGATGTTATCCTGCAATATCCTTGAACAGTTATACACCAAGGGTGTGGATTTTTTTTTTCTATGTAGGGCCACTGATGAATTGGAAAAATGAACCAGGGCACAGCCAATGGTGAGTAGAGACACCATTCTAGATGCTGCCATTGAACAAAAAATGGGTGAAATCTGCAGAATAGCAAGATTGTCCAAATTCAGTTGAGGATTATGATTCTCTGGAATGGGGTGGGGAAAGAGGAAGGGTGAAAATGAGTCAAATGTTTCTGTTTGAAGCACTGATCCAAGTAGTGGACACCATCCCTCATTCACTGAAGGCTTTTGGATCCGTGCTTCTGTTATGTTCCAGGGCCCTGAGAACAACAGAGGTGTCTTCAGGCCCAGAGTTTGTTAGGTGAGCCTTTGGGCCAAAAACAACCAAGTTTCTAAAAGCAGGGGGAGGGGCTGGTTCCATATACAGTGGATTTTCTGGGGCCCCAGAATCTGCCTCACCATTCTAGATGCTGCAATTGAACTTTCTTTTGCTAGATCTTTACAACAGCTAAAAGCAAAACCTGAGAAAATTTGGATTTGATAAGGAACCAGACACAGAAAGGAATCCAGCACTGTTGGACTGCAAATCTGTGCATTCCTCATCACTGGCTGTGCTGGCTAGGCCTGATGGGACTTGCAGCCCTATATCACCTGGAAGGCCACCCAGATTCTAATGGCTTCAAATTCATATTCAGTTACAATACCTCATTCAGGTATAAAGGGACAGCTGTCTTAGAGCATTGCAACAGAAATAAGAGACTCCTGTGGGGTATTGAGTTGAGATTTGGGACTGGGAGATGTATCATAAAGTTCTGGACAGGCAGAACTTCAAAATGTCTCCCCTCTCACCCCCTCACCTTTTAACTCCTGCACCTCCCTCTTTCGCCAGCTGCCCCAATTTGCTGGCCAGTGGAGAACATGGGAGTGGCAAAGAAGTCGGGTAGCTACGAAGTGAGGCGTGGTGGTGGTGTGTGCCTTCAAGTCATTTCCAACTTATAGCAACCCTATGGCAAACTTATCATGAGGGTTTCTTGGCCAGATTTGTTCAGAAGAGGTTTGCCATTGACTTCCCTTGAGGCTGAGAGCATGTGACTTGCCCAAGGTCACCCAGTGAGTTTCATGGCCAAACCCTGGGAATCGAACCCTGGTCTCCAGAGTTTAGTCCAACATTCAAACCACTACACCACACTGGCTCTATAGGGTATTCCCCTCACCATAAGAATTGTGTCTTGAAATTAATTTTTTCTTCTGTCTCCAAATTTCTAGTTTGCCATAACTTAAAACTTCAGTTGAACATTTAATAGGTTGTTTGTACACTATGTTATGTTTACCTTAAAGTACACCTTATGTTGATATACTTGATATATAATAAATATTAAATTACAAAGAGGAAATACAATTTTACCATCCAAAGAAAAGGGCAGGCATATCTACCAAGGGAATGCAAGTACAACAAATACATGAGTTCAAGGTGCAAATGATTTTCAATGTCTCACTCTCTGCAACGCTAGAAATTTGGAAGCTGAAGGAAAATGTCATTGGGATATGGAATTCTTACTTGCTGGGTGGGGGATGTCCTCTTTTCTCCCTCCACATAGCTACACCCCTCCCCCTGGGACCCTCCTGAGGTCCTCCACAGGTCATGGAGCAGTGCATCCAGTTATCAGAACACTCTTGTTTTGTGCCTTCAAGTCATTTTCAACTAATGGCAACCCGAGATTTTCTGAGGCTGAGAGTGTGTGACTTGCCCAAGGTCACTCAGTGGGTTTCCATGGTTGAGCAGGGATTCAAACACTGGTCTCCAGAGTCATAGTCCAATGCTCAAACTACTAAGCCACACTGGCTCAGAACGTGGCAGGACACTTTTTCTGCTACTTCCCTGCTTTCCACTGGCCAGTAAACTTATGATGTGTGAAGCAGCTGAAAGGTGGGTTCTGGGGAGAGTTTAATTGTTGTACAAGGTTGGTACAGAATTCTGATGTCCACAATGCCAAAAAATAGAGACTTATGCCAGCGTAAACTGGATTTAAATTTGTGTAAATTACTAACAGCATGACAGTCATGAGCTTTCATAGACTGTAGCCCATGTATCAGTATGCTGTAGTCCACAAAAGCCATGGTGAAATATACTTGCTAGGATTAAATCAAATTGTTAATCCCAACTAGAATAGAACTGTTGACTCAGTGAGAATTTGGCATTGATGAGAATTAACATTGATGAAAGTGCCACTTGTTGATTCAACACATCTTCGCTGACTGGGATGAACAACTTAACCCTTTGTCTTTAAGAAGTATCATAGGACTTTTAGTTGATTTTACTTTGGATGATGATGAGGTCATACTACTTGACTTTACCACTATTTGTGTATTCCATAGTGGTGATTTCCTAAGAACATATCTGACTTGTCACTATTCTGGGGTTCAATTGTAAAAGATCTGCATAATAGATTTCAATGGTCCCATGAAGCAGTGGTCTCAATGAGGAAGTCCTTGAATTGGATTTACCAAGTCCTTTCCCCATTCTATAGAGATTTAGGCCAAATGACAGCTTCTCACATACTGTCCTTTCCTCTGCCCCATTTCATAGCCTACAGCATACTCTGCTTACAAGATTTTCTTGGGGGGGTATCACATGCCTCTCCTCTCTGCATTGTCACTATTGGTGCACTCTTTTCAACTGAGATCCTTTTATGAAAAGCATTACTTTGCTTTCTTGTTGAAAAGAAAGTGTGTCAGAGAGGACTAGGGATGGTTCTTCTCTTTTTTTTTTAAAGTGCACTTGCTCCATAACATGGAAAAGTTGGTCTTTTTTATCCAAAAAAGAAAGTAACACATTTTTGAATAGTCTCACATTCCAAAAGTTTCCTGGACATGGAAGGCTGCCATGCTAGTAGCCTTTAACTGTAGCAGCTGGTGGCCTCCATGTCAATGAGGCAATAAATCTGATCCAGGCACAATCCTATTCACAAAAGAAAGTAACCACCATGGATATGACCTTTAAAGTTCAAACAGAAATCCAGAGCACTATCACTATCTGATTGACATGGAGCCCACCAGGCATTAATGGTCTTTAGGGCAAAATTTGGAAAGATGTGCCCCCCCCCCCAGTTGTAGTTATATTGAAACTTCCATCACTGTTCATCATCATTTATTCTGGCAAGGGAGATGGAAGTTGTAGTCCCACATCATCTAAAAACCATGTGTTTCCAAACCTTTCTTTAGGGTGCCACAGGAAGCTTATTGCTGCAATAAACTAACCATAAATCGGCAAAAATCACTTTTAGTTTGGAAAGAAGAAAAAGTTTGGTTAATAGAATGATACGAAACATGTGGCCCTCCTACTGCTGAACTGCAGTTCCAACCATACTTTGTCAAGGGCTATGTGGCTGCAGGCCAACAACATCTGAAGGACCACATTGTTTCCACCCTTGGGCTAAAGCTTAACTGGAAATTATCCTGGAAAATTGAAGCTGAAGGTCAATATGAAAGAAGTATTTTGCTGTTTGTAGTGGCTGTTCACTTGACACTTCTCCTTCCATTTTACAGTGCCAAAACTCCATTTTGAGAGCCAGGAAATCTTGCAAAATGGCCAGCTGCCCTAGAACCTGTGTGCACCATTTCCTTGCTCTAATCCTCTCTCCCAAAGCCAGGGAACAAGTGTGTGAATTCTGGCCAAGGCTGCCTTCTCCTTCCTGGTATTCCCAATTGAAATGCTAATGAGTTTGTTGCCAGGCAAAGATGTGTTGCTGGACAGCTCGTGGACTGATGTGATGAATGCTGGGTCCCATTCCCATTGCCTTTCCCAAAGCCCTAGCTCTGTCCTGTGACTGGTTCCATGCTGCAGGGGATGATGGCAGACAGATCTGTAGGTTGCTGTTTTGTCTTTGAAAATGTAGGCCAATTACATGATACCAAATACATCATAAACTATGTGACAGTCACAGTTTGGCTGGTGGCTTCCATTTTAGTGGGGCAGTAAATCTCTTCTGGTTTTACTCCAAACTTTAAAAGAGCTATCCATAGTGCTGGGGATAGGGTTTGACTATATGGATAGCTTCTTCAAAGTTCAAACTAAAAATTACGAGTGGATTCACTGTCCCAATGACATGGAAGTGACCAGACCCCACTCAGTTTCTTTCAGTTCAATATCATACTAATCAATATCAAATGAAACACATTTCATGTTTGCCACTGAAATTAAATAGTAGTTAATTAAATATGAGGGAGAAGATTTTATTTAATAATAAGAGGGAATTTAACAGTATGTAAGAAAAAATCATTTTTCATTAATTTCAACCAATTTTTGCCAGAATCCTGTTGGGCACTTACAAATGCACAGTTAGAGTTACACACTTGTGACTGTTTCATATTTACAATCCCTATATAGTCTCTGGTTTAGAGGCTATGTAGGGACTGTGAAAGCCCCCCCCCCCCATCTTTCCTTACTGGAAAGCAGTCACTGCGATTGATGTTCTTCAGTTGTTAAGGAAGCATCCGACTGATGTTCCTTTCATGCGAATAATCTCCAGTGCAGGGTGGCACTGGGACAGGATCCTACTTCTTGCTGTTGCACTGGAGATAGTTCACAGGAGTGGGTGGGATCATCAGTCAACTGCTTCCCAATTGAGAGGGAAACAAACCCTGACTGACTGCATTGGCTACTGATCAGGAAGTGGGGATTGGGGCAGGTAACACTGCAACTACAGTATTCATGCATATGTCAATCTCCAACAGGATTTTGACCATAAATGCAAATGTTTACAAATATGTAGCAAATTGTAATGCATTTGAACAACAGAAATGGGTTTTTAAAACCCAACAAAAACAAAACCAGGAGTGTTTCCCTCTAATACTTACTTAGGCTGAAAAATGGCACTTTTCTGCCTATACCCCAACTTTCTCCCTAGTATGTAGTTTAACATAGCATCCTTAATGAACATCTAATCCTTTAATACAATGTCTAATAATTTTTTTCTTCTAAGCCATTCTTTGTGCCTTATTTACACTTTCTACAACCTACATTCATTCCATTAAAAAGGCTTGACATTAAATCCATGAATCCATTCAATACAGCCTTTCTCCACCTAGGATGCTTCTGACACCTTGGACAACCATCCCATTATCTCTAGTCAGATGTGCTTGGAGTTCTAATCCAATGTGCTGTTGGATGACTATTCAAGGGAGGCTGATTTTTATTTTTACTAGTAGTAGTAATAAGTGTGTGAGAGGAAGCCAGATTTGGATATGAAAAGGGGTAATCTTTCTAGCACATATTGAAGTCTTGCCACAAGCTCCCTCCCTCAGCTCAAAGTTGCTATTATTCTTGGGAGGGAAGCTTCTGAGGCAAATAGCAGAAGGGAGTAGGTCAGCGGAACGGCAACTGTTGAGTGAAAATATTCACCCCTACTATTGCTCCAATCAACGTCAGATACCTCCACAGCTGCCTTAAAATGAGACCAAAACAAATGAAACACCCTAAATCTTAGGTGACCAAAACATAGAAAACCCATGCTATCTCTTGATTCAGCCCTGAATATACAATCAGCCCTTGACTTTCACAGGTTGAACACTTGTGGATTTGACTATTTGCAAGTTTGTCCTTGTGTGCATGCACCTCCTCTCCCATCCTGGGCTTTCCCCCCAGGCAAAAAAAGCCCAGGATGGTGGGGGCAGCCAGGAAGGGTGAGTGCATACCCATCCCACCTTTCTCGTGCTTTAGTCAATGGAGGGAAGCTGGCTACAGCATGGGGGGAGGAAGAGGAATATATATACACACCACTCCTGTTTTCCCTCACTTATTTGTGGTTTTCCACTTTTGCAGGGGTTCTTGTGCCCCTAACCCCTGCTAAAGTAGATTTGTGCAAAGCCACTAGGGATGGAAAGAATACATTTTTTAAAAAATGTTAAAAGACACCTTTTTTTGAGTTTTGAGAGAATCATGGACTGACAAGAATCTTTGTAGTTCAGGACATATTGTGTGCAATATCTGCACATGGTTCTTATACGCAGAAATCAGCATTTTCTGCACAAAAATAGCCTTTTCTGCACGGAAAATATTTCGGTGCAGAAATACTAATTCCTGTCCAGAAAAGGTGTTTCCTGCACAGAAAATGCTATTTTCTATGCAAATCAGCCATATGTGGATTTTACACAGAACAAATCCCCAAATATAGCATTTTCTGCTCAAAAAATG